GTGCTGACACAGTGCACATCGGAGTGGCTTCAAAGTGGAACATCTGTGACTTTTTCAGGCTATTTTTTGAAGCCTGTTGTAAGTCTTTGTAGGGCATACAAAATCTCTCACACCTAGTCTCTTTGAGATTCCAGATTCTGGGAACCAGGAAGGTTTCAGAAGCAGCACTTCATTTATTTTACAATTAGAGACTGGTTCTCCTTGACATAGTGGAATGAATCAGGTATAATGCCAGCACGGCCAAGTTACACTGGTGTGAGAGAGGCATCGGGTCCAGAGAATAGCTGCAGTATTTAGTAAAAGCCGTTCCCAGAGCTGCATTCCATCAGCTTCCTGCACACCATTTTAAGCTGTGGAGGACGTGTCCTTATCTGCCCATGACCCTGTGCTTAAAAAACAAACAGGGGAGATGTTTTTATCATCATGTATTGATAGCAGAGTTAAACATTGATTTAATGAGTAATAACAAGCACAAATGGCACAAAGACTACAGCTTTCATCGTACTGCCTTTAGGTTTTTCTCATTTAAATTGTTAGACACTTTACTAATTTTTATGTACATTGAATCTTTTATCTGGGGCTGTATTTGTACTGCAGCTGAGAGGTGTGATTGTAGTAGGGATGGGCAGATCTAAGGTTGCTGTAGTCTAGCCCATTTTGGTTACGATAGTGAAGATGCCGCATTTGGGACATCAGCACATGCTACTTGTTCAAGTGATTACCCAGCGTACTCATGCAACTTTCATTGAAGTCCCTGGTGCTGTGGCTTCCCTGCTTTTGGTACCTGAGCTAACTAGATTAAAGCTAGCCCAGGTATGTCTCCCTGTCCTGCAGTCCGACCTCTGATTTCAGTAAGACGTAGCCCGAGGCTTCTACTAATACCGCTGTAACCACGTGCACTAATTAGAGCCAGCAACAAGAGTGGATCTGTGCTTTAGCTGGGTGATTTTTTTTAAGGAGGTTTGGTTTTCAATTGCAGTGGGTCTTGTACCAGGTTTGACATCCAGAGAATATTGGGACTGAGGAGTTTTCTAATGGTAAATGTTTGTGTTTTGCTTTCTTTCAATTAGGAATTGGTTATGCTTCCATAGTGATCGTGTCCCTTCTGAACGTGTACTACATTGTCATCCTGGCTTGGGGCCTGTACTATCTGTTCCAGTCATTTCAGAGCGTCCTACCCTGGGCTCATTGTCATCAGGAATGGAACACACCTACATGTGTAGAAGACACTCTCAGGAAGAACAAAACACTTTGGATGTCACTGAATGCCACTAACTTCACTTCCCCCGTCACAGAGTTTTGGGAGTAAGAACCTTATTTCTTGGGGTTTTTTTACAGTACTTTAGCTAAAGGATAAGATGATGAGTGAGACTACTGATCCAAACCCCTGGGAGAATTTTGGGTAGGGAGAATATATCTAGGTTGGGTTTCCGCCTGGTTTGGGATATTTGATCATTACAAACAAGTGGTGGCCAGCATTTGGATTAGGTATCCTGGCCAAACTCATGGAGACGAAGTCACAAAAGCAACGTGCTGATTCAGGTGTGACCAAACACAGGTAAGGCCACAATGTCACCTCCTTAATTCCCTACAATTATGTGCAGTGCGAGCTTTTGAGAGCTTGCTGAAAAAGGGTGCGGCTTCAAAAATCCAGCCTACAATGAAAACAGAAATTTGGCTCCAGAAAACTGCTGTTAAAGTAATGCTGGCAGCATGACTTAATCCCACAAAAGCAAATGAAAGGGGAAAGTCTTGTTGGACATTATTGTTGGTCTTAATTCTTGTGGTACACACATAGAACTGTCCAGACAAGCTTATATTGAGCCTTTCTGCATGAGTGTACAGCACTGTGGATGTCACTAAATCTGTTGAGATGACACATGAGATGGCTTCTAATTCTCAGCACTGTGCAAAAACCAGGTAAAATGATCAGAGTGGATGCAGAAGGATCATTTTTCAGTCAGTCAGCTCTTGAGGCCTGCTTTGTTTTTGGAGAAAAGTGAACAAAATTCAATCTTAAACACCCTCTGTTTCATGAAAGGCTGTGGGAATAAAAGAGGAAGGTGTTACAAGTATTGTAGGTAGTGTATACTAATGTATAAAATTACCCTAGGGACCATTCTGGTTTGAAAGGATTTGGGTTCTGTTTTCCAATTTTGAAAAATACCCATTCATTTCCCTTAAGCCAAGCTTCATTTTGGAGCCATTCAGTTAGTTACCAGCACCCTGAGAATAGCAGTTCATAGTGGAAACAATGATAGACTATTAACTATGCTGCTGCATCTCACCCTCTTCCTTTCTTACAAACACACGTTCTCTGTGAATAACAAATCTCTTATTAACCTGGCAAAGATGCTAGCAATTAAACCTGGCAAAGAAAACTAGAAAAGATATTAGCCATTGCCCCATATTGCAGCATTCAGAGATTGTTTTTCTTTTGCCAGCTTGCTGTACAGTGTCGAAGAAGAGCTTGTTTTTGCCAAAACCTGGAATTCATTAGGCTTATGGCTTCTCATTCTCATTTCTCATCCCCACATTTCATGTTACAAACTGTTTTTTGCACAACCTGCTTTTTGAATGGACTGGCCCCTCTACCAACTGTGTGCTATGCTTGGACACCAAAAAAGATCAGAAAAGCAGGCTGCAGAGGAGGTCTGGGGGATATAAAACCCACAGGCAGGTTCAGAAGAGAGTAATTACTCACTTGGCTTTCACAGATGGTTAATTATTAAGTGTAGCCTTTGGTTCTGTCCCAGCTTGGCTTCTTCAGCCCACTTAAATTCCAGTTTGGCTCCTTGAATCAACTTGTACCTACTTCTGTGTTTTATAAATAAATGTAAGCCAATACCTCCCTCAGGAATGATATCAACACTAAAGATATCTGGCATGTGTTAAGTTTGGAAAAATAATCCTGGGAACGGTGCTGAAACTTGTAACCCAATGTCAATGCAATAACATAGGGCACATCTACACGTCGCCCTACAGCGATTTGGTGACATGCTAGATTGCCATACAGTGACATAGCAATCACACGGGTCTACATGTGATCCCCAATGTAGCGGCATGCTCCCCTGGGATAGCCTTGTGGAAGTACTGTGCCATGCTTTTAATACTCCAAAAGGAAGTACTAAAGCACGGTGCCATAGCAATGTCACCGTACGGTGACGTGTGGACATGTCCATAGAGTAGATCTTGGGTGATCCAGTTATTTCAGTCCACTAATGACTGGTGTAACTGGTAGAGTGCTACCAGTGTCTTTTTCAGGTGCCTTTTGCACTATTTTTTAAATGCTAAGAAACAGATGCTTTCCCAGTTTGGATTTCTGGGTGGTGAGCTGGCTTCTCCCAAGACAAAGGGGTGATAATGGGATTTGTTAGAAGGTATCTCTGGAAATTTCACATGATGTCAAAGAGACAGGACATCTGATTGGCAAGCCAATCAGACTACAGGTGTCCTGAATGTGTCTGAAAGCCTCCCTGGGTCCTAACTCTGTGTGCACCTGCATCTTGGGCCTACAAGATGTTATTCTGAAAATCAGGCCCTTGTCCTTAGCAAGCATCCGGCTAGGAAATTTCTGGTCTGAGTCAAATTCAAGTTTGCCTCGCAGTTGTCAAGCAGTTATAGCCAAACAGAAAGTCTATGGTGCTTCAAGACTCGACTCCGTCCTGTGTTTGAAGGAAGCCATACTGTTTAGTGGCACCACAGTCAATACCAATTTAATTGAGTTGTTTGTTTCTAAAACTAAATGCCCTTTATAATGTGGCAAATGGAAGTGGCTCATCAGCACTGCCTGGTAAAGTTGACATGGCACAGAGATAGTCAGTCCTATTGGTACATTAACCACTCCAGGCTGAATGACATGTGTCTTTCCCAGTCCCACTGACCATGCAGCACAGCTGGGCATTTTCATTCACTCAAATTAGTGCTCTGTGCAAATCACATGCTTGATTGAGCAGCAGTAAAAGGAGTTAAGCAGATCTGGCTCTGTCTGAGGGGAGTTGCCTTTGAGAGTCACATGTTTTACAGCTTATTTCTTAAGATTTTATTTTAAAGGATTACATTATGTAGTTGCTGGAAGACAGTGGCAGGATAAAAGACGTCTGACTGTCTGATGCTGACCCAGTGTTTATGAATGTTGGGTAATCAGCAGACCTTGTTCATCTAAATGTAAGAGAACCTGTCACATGCTCTGGCACATGAGCGGGTGGAAAGAAACCCCAAAACTAAACAAAATCCAACTTAGTTTTGTCTGCCAAACATAAGTTTTAGAAAATTGCTTGCTCCATAATACTCCCTTTGGTAAGTTTCTTGTACAGCCAGCTGCAGCATCAGTTACTATTGCCTATTAGTGGTACATTAAGCAGCACTTCATCTCTTTTGCTATGAAAGGTCCTGTCTGCTTTCACATGATTAATTGACCTGGGACACTCTTCAAGGATTGCATAACTGCCCTCATTTTATTTTTATTTACATTCTGGAGCCAGTTACAACTTCTGTTATGCCAGTTACATGATCCGCTTTACTACTCCTTTTGGCTCTATTAATAAGGTCCAAGACTGCTTGTTTATCACTGAAGCAAATTCCCAATTTGTTGTATTTGCTATCTCATAGTATTTGATGTCAGTGGTATCCCATTGAATGCACGTATCAATGACAGAATAAATCATGCAGGAATGTGATTAAATTAGTTCAGTGAGCTAAGTTGTCCTGAGTTTCAGGTGCAAGCAGGCTTAAGGGAAAGAAAAATGGAGGTTTGTATCACCAAACTACTGATCAATCCAGCACTTACTCCTCCCTCGCAAGGAATGTCAGGGGTGTTACAGATCCAGACTGAGGGGCTTCTGCTGCAGACACGTGGCTTTTGGTTTACAGCATAACATAATTTAATGGTAACACTGCAGGGACGAGTACTCAATTGGCTCTTTGAGGCATTCTGCCTTGGTAGAGGAGGATGGCCCAGGACAGCAAGGGAGGAAGACAACTAAAAAAAATATATTGAGCCCTTCACTGCTACTAAATAAAGAGCAACTTAACTGTCCTAGTCAGGGGAGCATCTACCCGTGTGCTTCTGTGGAGTAAAAAACTCGGCAGCAGGGTAGGACTTGTATTTCCAAGTACTCCCCTGCTGCAGAGTTTATTAGTTTCCTTCAGCCTAGAAGGGGCGTACATGTAGACACGTGACATTTACTGCACAGCTAATCAGTCAACTGCACGGTAAACGTCTTGTGTAGACGTACCCAGTGGTTTCACTTTTTGGTCCATGACTTTATTTATATTTCCTTTTGAAAAAAATAATATTATTGGACACGCAAGATAAAAAGAAAACATAGGGCTTCCTGTTGTGTCCTCTCCAAGTTTTGAAAATACTTTGTTGGTCGTGAAGCCTCCCCCTGTGCCAGTAGGCTGCACTAGCACGTTCTTTGCACTTTAGCCCATTCAGGAGAGGATGGCTTCTGACCCTCATAGTTGGGTGAAGACAAAACTCAGGAGCAGTCTTTCATGCAGCAAGTCAGTTTATCTTAGATCTTGAGCAACTTCCTACCATTTGAACTCAGTCAAAACTCTCTGTGACTATAGAGAAAGTTTTGCCTGAGTGAGTACATTTTAGTCTGCTTGTTTTGACAGGAGCTCTGCCTAAGTAAATAGGTAGAAGAGGTCTTGGTCTTTTGTGTAGATAATGAGCAGGGTAAATATCAGGTGTGACCGTTTCCAGTCAGTTTAGAAAATGTTAACAGCATACCCTTTGAGTGTGTACGCTGAAGGGGAAAACAAGAGAAGGAAATAATTGTAGTTAAATATTTTCACCTACCTGTGGAAACTGCCGAAAGAAATGCAAAAGAAAATATTCCTGTGATTTGGATGGCCGTGTTCTTACCTCCTTCACATCCACACTAGAGTAGAAGTCTGTGTTTGTTTTTTAACTTGAACAACCAAGTAAAGTTTACCAAATATCCTTGGGTTAGCAAAACAAGGTCTTATTCGTGATGACTTTGACCTCCCTTGGCAAGCATCACAAATGTTTTTGTGCACGTGAGCCAAGATAAATGGCAAGGGCAACAGAAACTGTAACAAAGCCAGGCTCTGCGCTGCAAAGCACACGTCTTAAGGCATTCATTTCTCACCCTGTTGTTTCTGGTCCTCACAAGGATAGCCACAATAAGAAAAAAAACCCAGTATAGCGTGGCCTTTTTGAACCAGACACCGAAGGTGATATAGACAATTAAGTACTCGGTGACTTCAAGGCTTTTTTAATAGAGCTGCTGGCTCCCATCTCCATGGACAGCAATTCTAGTAAATAACCTTCACATTTGCAACTTGTTTATATGATCATTAGCTTTCAGGAGGATCTCAGGTCAAGATGCTCTATTGTGTTGCACATTGGCCTGGCAACAGCTAGGGCAAAATTCGGTACAGCTTTATTTATATGAGCACTGCTGACTTCAGTCCAGTAAATGAGTATTCATAAGATTGGGACATTACAGTGCAATCAGTTCAGCCACTGTTGTAAGTGAGAGGATTGTACTTTCAAAGAGCATGAAAAGAATGGTGACTAACTGGTTTCTTGTCTTTGTCTTGCATTGTTTTCTTTGTGTGCATTAAGGCACAACGTACTGAGCTTGTCCTCAGGAATTGAGGAAGTCGGTGTCGTCAAGTGGGATCTAGCACTGTGTCTCCTTCTTGTCTGGGTGATATGTTTCTTCTGCATTTGGAAAGGAGTCAAGTCAACCGGGAAAGTAAGTGCCCTGTGTCCCCCTATGTAATAATTACCCTAAATTATTGGCAGCATAATGATTACTAGGCAGCATATTTCTTAAATAATGTGAGGGGCAAGGATTTCTTAGGGTGATGGCTTTTACTGGATGAACTATGTAGTTGGGATAAAATCTGACAATCTTTCAAATGCAAGGCATTCTTCCTCAGGTTTCTCCTGCATAAATAACTAATGGCATTACTCCCCTGCAAAAATTGAAGAAGCTACAAATCTGACCAACATTGGATAGTAGTGGCTAGTTCCATACTTTGGTTGCCTCTTTGCCAACTGGATATGTAAAATATGGCATTAAGAATCAGATAAATGCATCTTAAACACCCTTTTAAATGGATGCCAAAATGCTGCTACATATACTGGTAGGGGTGCCTTAGACCTTATGGGCACTGTGTCTTACCAAAATCATAATTCTAAACCCCTGTGCTTTTCATGCATGCCACCCATACAATCCAAATGTAGTCTTGGTGAAATACTATTGAAATCAGTGGAGTCACATATAGAGATACATTTAAATAAATAGAAATTACAGTATGCTAAGCACTTTAAAAAAAATCTATCCACTTGCTTAGGAGCTTAATAGAAGCCTAACTTCAAGGTCTTGCTATTTTAGCAGTACGTTTTTCTTAGCAAGGATCTCAGTGAAATGTGAGAAGTCCTGGTCAACAAAAATTATATCACCGTCAGTATTTTAGGTACCTGCTCAAGGTCACAATGATTGAATGTGCTCAGAATCTGCAGCTATGCGTGCATCCATTTTTTGTAGAGTAAGAATCTTCTTTTGCTCTTCTTGCCCGCACCTGCATCTGTTCACTTTCCAAGATGACACCTTCCCAAATGGTAGTAATGATGTGGTACCTTAACCATATGCTACATACAAGAAACAAAGTGCAGGAATTCCCACCCGGTTGCTTATAACCACGATGGATAGCATTTATTGCTTCTTTAAACCCATAGTAATTTTGAACCACCATTTCTGTCTCCCTTTGTCATGGAGCCTCATCATTAAAGTAAAGCTGGTGTATTATTCTTCTGGAGTCCTGCCAGTCTGAGCCTCAAAGAACAGCTTTCACACCTATAAGTCTGTGCTGACAGAAGGTGTTTGTATTCCCTATTCTCATCAATTGCCATGACCTATTGAGTTGTCTTGGCAAGTGCCAAAATGAAAGAGAACACAGTAATCTCTCCAGCAGTAGCAGAATGGAAATGTGCATTTCCTCAGTACATTTTGTGATCATGGTATCTGTTTGATTTACAAGTTAAGGTAGTACCAAAGGATTAACCAAGTTTCTTAATATACAAAAAAAGACAAACCCTTGCCTGTGATGAACGAACGCAATAGAACGAGTAAGGGCATATGCAACTCTTAAGTAGGTGAAAGGGACTCAGTGGGCATGTCTACATGTGCCCCCAAAATTACTGCGGAGTACAGTCACATGTCTACACGTAGTTACTGTTCAGTAAGGCACATGTGGATGCTTTACTGTACAGTAACCCTGTTTGTGTGGACTGACTTGGGAGTAACTTTACCCCCAAGTCGGTACACACACAGTGTTACTCTGCTGTAACGCCTACCTGTGTGGATGCTAGTCTAAAAACTGCTTACTGTGCATTACTGTGCAGTAAGTTACTGCAAGGTAAATTCATGTATAGACACACCCGGTGACTTGAGGATTTGCAGTGAACAGAGAAACCTATGGACTTTACCAGGAACTTTCATAGGTTTTTCAGGACAGAACTCAGTAGCTGAACATTTCCCTGGCAAATACATTTTTTCAGCCATGATGGATAAAACATCAGTGTTCCTTTTGAATTCCAAACTGCCATACACCTTGGGGGTAGGAGAGAGTGCAGGATCTTTCCTGCTTCCTCGGATATCCCTCTGTTGTTCCTGTAAGTTAACCCTGAGCTTCTTTAATTAAAAAAAACCAAAAGAGAAATATTAAAGAAAAATCAAGTAACCAATAAGTTCTTTTTTCCCCTGAAAATTAGGTGCATCTCTTGAAGATAATGATTTAAAATCTGCTGCTCTGTCTTATTTGAAATTTCAGGGTGTGGTCCAAGCCCACTGAAGACAATTGAAAGACTCTTATTGTCTTAATTGGCCTTAGATCAGGTTAAACTGAACTACAGGACTCAAATATATTTAATCAGCCTATTGTTTTCTTTTATAGATTGTTGTTAGTAACACCTTTTTGCTTTCCAAGGGGTCAATTGCCCACAAGAGAGAAAAAATCTTTTTTTTATAAAAATTTGCAGCAGCATATTGAATAAACAGAAAAAAACATGAAAAATAGGAGTTTTATCTATTTTGTGTAGAACACTGAAGTCTAAATGTTCCTCCAAGAATTGCATGGGATTTCCTACCCTCTCGAGTGAGGTCCACATTGTACTACTGAATTCCTGCGAAGGCATACATACCCTGCTTGTTGAGCAGCAACGATTCTTATCTATCTATCTATCTATCTATCTATCTTTGATTTATATCTATATCTATAGATATATAGATATAGATATATATCAGTCAAATCTATAGATAGATATAGATATATATCAATCAAATCTATAGATAGATATAGATATAGATATATATCAATCAAATATATATATATATATCAGTTGTCTATATATTTAGATTGATTGATTGTATATATATTTAATAAATGTTTCATAATATATATAGATAAATCCTGGTCCATGAGACTCACGTCTGCTCTACAAGCAGGGTATGTATGCCTTCACAGGAATTCAGTGTTACACTGTGAACCTCTCTTTACAGGGTAGGAAATCCCATGCAGTACTAATGGATCATACAAAGCAAAAAGTAAATGCCTTTTCCAAAGCTTTCATCTGAAACTGGGCTAAAGTTAAATTAGTTTTCGTGTCAGTGCAAAATATAACCACGTTCCAAGAGGAAAAGGGAAAAACACATAGATGAAAAGGTTTCCTCTAAGTTTTATGAAACCAGACTGGCTGTGAGAGTTTATTATGGTGATGCTGGCTTTGATTTCTCCTGGATACTCTCAGAGGACACACTTAAAAAGCAGATGATGCCTCTCAGGAGCTTTGATGTGGTTAAACAAATTCTGATAAACAAAAATATATTTCAGACAAAGCAGTGGAGCTGTCATGTAAAAGTACCTGGTGGAAACATCTGACTGCATTTAAAAAAGAAAGAGTAAATCCCATTTTGGAAATCAGAGATTGGCTGACAGGGTAATGTTAGGGCTTGTCTGCACAGGGGAAATTGGGCAGAGAGCCTACAAGAGTAGAGGAAGGCCTGATCAGCAGAGAAAGTGATGTCTTAGAGCTCAGGAAGCCTGGGGATAAAGTGAAAATGGGCAGAAATCCATCTGAATTAGACTTTCAGAACCTAAAAAATATTGAAGAACAAAAGTTCTTCAGCCATAGTCATTAAAAGATAACAAGGAAAGAGAAAGGTAGATCTCCTGTGAAGGGAAATACAAGGAGAGGTTAAAGATAATTTAGATATGCCCCCCACCCCCAAATCAATACTTTTCCTCAGTTTTCTTTTACGGATTAGTGTGCTGAAGATGGGGGCAAAAAAGCAAGATGGCAAATGGCAATGCCATTATGGAAATTGCTGTATTCTGGGTGGAAAGGGACTGGATTGCCTTGCCCCAGTAATTCCTTAGGGATTGGCGCATGAAATTTCAGGTCTGGAAGTAAGGACTGTTAATAAATCTATCAAGCCAGTGTTGCTGCTAGTTGGCTGAAGAAAAGAAATGCAGTACCTATATTTAAGGGTGAGGGAAAGGTGATCAGGGCAACCATAGAATTGCTAGTCTGACTTCAGGAGTATCCAAACTTTAGGACAAATTTTGAATTAAAGGCTAATTAAGGACATGCAGGTAATAATATTAACATGGATTTACTGACGTGTAGATTGTGTCAGAGTAACCAGCTATCTCACTTGGATGAAGTAGCTGATTTTCCAGAAAGAGGAGATGCCATGGATCTAATTTATTTCAGTATCAGTAAACTGTTGAATATGTGCTACATAGAAAATTATGTGTTAAGAGGAAGGTGGAGGTTGATATAAGAATTACAGGGACATTATTGCAGTTCCTCAAAGATCAGGTTTGAAAATAACAGAGGAAGAGAAAGGTGTGGAGGTAGTTATCTATGAGCCATCAGTGTGATGCAGCTGTGAAAAAAGTGATGCACTATCCTGTGATGAGTCTCATGAGGTATTTCTGAAAGTGATAGGAGAGTATTATAATCCCATTGCACAAGACCCTGCTGAGATCTCATCTGGAATAGTATGTACAGGTCTGGCCACTCATGTTAAAATAGGATGAATTCAAAATGGAGCAAGTATGGAGATGGCTGGGTTGTGCAGGGAGCCAAGCTCAGCCAGGGACAGCAGCAGGGGGCCAGGTTCCCCCCCAGCTGTGCCCTCAGCCCAGGACTGGGCACAGGGACAGGGGAACCCACCTGCTGCTGCTGTCTGTGCTCTCTGTGCATCTGCTCCCTACAGCCCTGGGTCACCCTGCACCCCGAGGCATAAGTAGAGAGGGTGAGTGGAGGAATGGGAGGGCAGGGAAGGGGAGGTGGGATTCTTACCTGCTTCAAGGATCTCATAAACGTCCCTGGTTGCTGTTTTCACAGTGTGATTTGCCCGTCATGATGGGGAAGGAGAGGCTGGGTGAAGGGATGCACCTAACCCTGCAGCACTTATTGCTGTGCCTGCACCCCGTTTTAAAAATCCTGGATCCACCTATTAACAAATGGGTATAAATTTAGGTTGGAAATTAGAATAAATTGGAATAACTTCATAAAAGCCCTAACTAGTTTTTTGATGGTCAGTCAGTTCATGAAAGGAATTTTATGATCTGTTTTCCTGCAGAAGTAGGAGGCTAAACTCAATGACACAGGAGTCCTGTGTGCCTATGAGTGGCATAACTATTCTGGAGAAACTATTCCACAGTCGCTATTTCTAAATAGCTCTCTGTTTGGACACCCTGTTCTGGAATTAACTCAGTTATTTCAGAACAGTGTGTTCACCAGAAGGGGAAGGGATGGGGGAGAGGAGTTTATTTGGGCATAGGTAGATTGTAACACGTGAGTTATTTGAGAGGAGCTATGTCAGTCTAGGTAAAGAAGCCTTTGACATTTGATGTTGTGAACCTCCTCCCCTCAGTAGATTCAGTCTTCAGTGCTCAGCAGTTGCATCACACCTGGTGCCTCTCTTGAGGAGTTTGCTAGGTGTCATTCAATACTTGAAATGTGCATAGATGTCCACGGGAAAGGAAGGCATAGGCATAGGCACCTCTGGTAGGTGTGACATGGAGCCAAAACATGAGCAGACTCACATCCTCAGATGGAAGATTCAGAAAAGAAAAACAAAGTACATTGCAGGGGAAGCTTTAACTCATCATTGGCAAGGTTATTCTTGTGGTAAAAGCAGGCAGCAAGAGGCAAACGCAGGGTTGTGATGGGTAGCATGAATCAGAAGGAAGTCCTTTGTATTCTCCTTGCCTGGATACAGATAGACACTTGAGCACAGATCAGGAGAGCCCCTTGTCCTTGTATTTATCAAGACGTGGGGGAAACAAAAACCTCAGTCACATGCTGGAAGCCGAGAGAACAGGAGAGTGGGAGATAGCATTAGCTGGAAATGGGCAAAACCAACCACAAATCTGAATCTGATCAGTTTTTTGAATATCAGTTGGATTTGAATTTGAATCCCAGGACTGCCTGCAGTTTGGGTTCTGGGTTGAAAGGATCCTATCCACCATTTAGCACTAGTGCATATCTTGTGCTTCTAAAGTAATTGGTAAAAATTATACATATCATTGCTTTGTCTTGGCAGGTTGTGTACATCACTGCCACATTCCCATTTGTAATGCTTCTCGTGCTGTTAATCCGTGGTGTGACCCTGCCTGGCGCTGCAGAAGGCATCAAGTTTTATCTATATCCCGATATCACACGTTTGGCAGACCCACAGGTATGATAAGACTAGCTGGGACTGGGATGACTCCACAACTCTGAAACAAGATGGGACACAAGGTGGCGGAGGGCGGTGGTGCCAAAAGAGCAGTAGCTTTTTTTCCCCCCATGATCTTTCTGGGTTCAGATCTACCATAACCGTCCATGCTGAACTGTATTTTTTCCCATGTATCTGGTTGAGAAGTTTATTGTTAAATATGTTAACGCCTCTTTCCATGCGCGTGTGTGTGTGTGCGCGTTTGTGTGTGCATATCTTTTTGTGTCAAAGGACGCTGAGGCTGTAGACTGTATCCAGTAATAGACTCTCAGCTTTCTTGTTAGGCTCTGGATAAGGTAAGGGAGATTTTTTTTTTTTTAAATGAGGATAGTTTTTAGTGTTGAAGGGAGACAAACTTGAGCTTCAGAAATGGAACAACAAGGAGCAACCGTGAGTATCCGTATCACTCAGCTCCCGCAACTTGAGAGGAGGAGAGTGGGGGGAAAAGGGAATAGAGTAATGGAAAAATGAAAACGCTTACACAAGTAGAAGCCAACAGTTTTCTCATGCAAAGACACACGAGAACAGGTGGGAGACAATTGCTTAGCACTGAGTAATGGGAATTTTACAGGCTCTGACTAGAGAAAGAAGGGAATCTTCCCAGTCGTGCTGCTGCTGTGGCAACCTGTACAGTTCTGCCCGCTAGCTCTTCCCCCACCATGATCACATGCAGCATGCAAAACTCTCCAAACAGAAAGGCAAATGTGGGGACGAATCTTGGTCTGAGAAATGAGGGAGGTGGGGCTTTCTTTTCTGCTGTTTCTTTTTTAATGACTCTCTGATTTAAAGCACTAAAATGCTGGAGCCACAGAAATAACTAAGCAGAAAAAGTGTCATTGAAAGAAAAAGAGTGAAAGTACACTCCAGTCTTGCCTTCTTTCCACCAGCTGTTCAGACATGCATTTATTTCTTTCCCTGGTACCATATAATTACAGTGATTTGTTAGCCCTAAGCCTTGTGCCCAGGGTGACGACTGACAGCACAGGAAGGATTTGGATTCAGATTAGCTCAGTAACTCCCTCTTCATGGCAGCAGAGCTTGCTTCACATGTAGGTCATCACGGACTTCTTATCAATAGGATTTCACCTTCTTCCCAAAGAGATCCTTGTGCATGTGTAGGTGGATGATGCTGGCAAGCTTGGGGAGAACAAGCAGTAAACATGTTGGAGGAGTGCTGTTGGGATTGGAGTAGCAAGCAGAGGTATATGGCTCCACATAGCCAGACAGAGATGAATCCAAACTTGAGATTTTCTTGCTATGATGATATTGAATTTTGTATGCATTTTTGTACCCATGTCATTAGGATGATGCTGAGGTTAGAAACAACATTGCTTGTATATATTTTTTATTTTTTAAAAACTTGTTATATTATATTCACGTCTTCTTAACCTCTGTTGTTTTAGTCCTTGCACATGCATTGAAAGGTGGGGTTGGGGTCATTTGAAAAACTGTTCACATTGATCACATTTGCAGCTTAGTGACTCTATAGGCAGGTCCTAAATGAAGAGCATCAAATGGATGCACATGTACATAGGACTCTTACTGTTGCCTCTACGTGATCTTAGCTCTTTGGAAAGCCTTGATCAATTTATGTTACATGGTGGAGGAAGCATCATTTGAGCAGCAGAAAGACTAGACTAGAAGCTGCCTTTTGGGAAGGGCTGTTTGGATTGTTGATAGCATTTGAGGTTTTCTGGTGGGCTCTGTTACTAATATTTTTTTTTCCTTAAAAAATGGTCATTTTTCATGTGAGATGCTCTTTTCTTCCTCTCGTGCCCTATTATCTGTCTCAATTGAAGCAAAATTTTTTTCTCTCTCTTTTTATGGTGCCTTTTTTAAATGACTGATTGCCTGTTTTGAAGGTTGCCATGGGGAAGTGCCTGTATTAACAGTTCTTCCATCTTTTCCTTTAGGTATGGATAGATGCAGGGACACAAATCTTCTTCTCGTATGCAATCTGCTTAGGAGCAATGACTTCCCTGGGAAGCTACAACAAGTACAAATACAACTGCTATAGGCAAGTGTCCATCCAAGGGGGTTTAGTGTCTTAGCTAAATGATGTAAATGAGTAGGGACAATGGGCTAATTTTTTTTTAATTAACTTGCTCCATGACATATGTGTGACTTAGGGACTGTTTGCTGCTGGGATGCCTGAACAGTGGTACCAGTTTTGTGTCTGGCTTCGCAATTTTTTCCGTCCTGGGCTTCATGGCACAAGAGCAAGGGGTGAACATTGCTGATGTGGCAGAGTCAGGTACGATGGTATTGGTGGCAGTGGTGGTGGGCACTGCCACCTAGTGTGTGAGCAAAGTGATGCAGACTAAATCAGCCAAAATCTAAGAAATAAGAACAAAGAAAAAACTATTTCCTGTAATCATCAGAAAAATAAGTACATTCACTTATTAGTTTTTGCTTTTGTGTAGAACGGTAATGGCTAGCTGGTGATTATATGGCTTTAAACTTTACTGTGATTAGTGTAGCAGTCAAACACAATCCTCCAAAGCATACTAATAAATTGTAGTTTAGATTAGAGTTAAAATAACTGCACCCGTTGTTGTCTAGAATCCAGAAATGTCAGTCAGTTTTGAAAAGCTACATCACTCCTCTTGTCGCTCTACCTTTATTTTGACAAAAATGCTACTAGCCATATTCTCTGTATTTTTCATTTCTTCTTCAGGCAAGCATTGTAGTAGAAATAATGTCTGGGACTTTCAGAACAACAGAGTTGAATTAGTTTTCCAAATTCCATTCAAAGGCAATGGAAACTGGATAACCAACTCCCTTAGGTTCCTTGGAAAATCTCAGCCATCATGACTCCAGTTGTTGCAGCTCTATACGTTTTAGGGAATCTCCAAGGTGAGGTTGATAGGATTGTGAAAAGTCCCCTCTGAAACTGGTTATATTGCTTCCTCAGTGTCCATTGATAGTCCATGCAATGTTCAGCTGTGCATAGCCCGTGCATATACATGAGGCTAGATAGACTACATTTGTCTGGACATCTCATCTCTACAGCATGTGGGCAACTGTGATGCCCTGTATGTTGTCACAGTGATGGCAAACAAATGTGCCAGGTTAGATCAGGATTTCCAACCCCATGTGCTCAAGAATCAAAAGTCAGGCCCCCACAATCATGTGATTGGCTTAAAAGGCATGAAATTCAAATGATGGCGATGATAATAATTTGCAATGCCTTTTCTTTCCTGTGTGATTTTTGAGCCTCTGGGGTTCATTTTGATGAGGTTCTCAAATGTTTCTCCAGGCTAAAAGCTTTTTAAATAAGCCAGCTGAGGTGACTTTCTAGTAATCGTACTGCTGCAGGAGATTGATCTTTAAGAAGAAAACAACAAATCTCATAAAAACGCATGATAAAACCTCTTTCCTAGGTTCTTGGTGTAAATTACCATGACTCTTGAAATCAGCTGCCCAGTGTGCGGCCCATAAAGATCATTTTTATTTACATAAAGGAAACAAGCTAAGGCAATAATCTTGAGGAATATGTCCTAACAAGCAGAGCGCTGACTGTATTAATAGGTCACTTCTAAGAATTTTTCAAACATCTGCCTATATGACTTTTTCCATTAGAAACAGTTCTCCAGGTCTTATTTAAAATGTATTCAAGATCACACAAATTCTAAATCACACATCTGCTGTTAAACCCAGCACCTTTATCCTGGTGTTTGTCATTTTTAAAACTGCATCATTTCTGAAACAACAACAATAATTATAACAACAACAGGAACAATAATAAAAAACAGCTAACAGCTAGTTCTTAATAGTGTTTTTATCAGTAGCTTCCAGCATCATTATCCACATTTTATAGATGAGGAAACAACCTCAGCGTTTGATCAGCACTTTATTTTGGAGCGTGTTTCCTTGCAAACACCTTTAGGTTTTTTGGTTTGATTGATTGTTTTCAGCCCAAGCCAGTAGAGGTCAGAAGTATAACTGATGGCTGTTCATTGGATTACACAGCATAATTTTGTGGTTGGAGGCAAGTTTCTAATGAATATGCATCCATATCACAAGAACCACTGTCAAAACTGCTTCTGATTATTACATTTGTTACCTTTCTAACCAGAGCAGTTAGGGGCTGACTAAGCCGGGAAGGCTAATCTATCCCTCTCACTCCTCCAAGATGTGATGACAGCAGCTGTCCAGACCATACCTGTTCTGTGCCAAAAAGATGACTTCACGTTTTGAGTGAGGCTACCTGACACCAATCACCAGCACACAGAACTTTAATTAGATCTGGATTGTCCTCCTCAGAATAAATGTTGCCCTTATGTTAGCAGTATGCAAATCTAGGCCTATTCTTCCAGGTAGGAAAATGAGAGAGGAGCAGTGAACGTTGCAATCTGTGAGGTGAGGAGCATCCCTCGATGAGCAACGTTGTGCGTTGACCAGCGAGATTATTCCTCCATTCTGTTTCCTCCCGGACAGTTAAATTGCACATTTGCCTTGCTCACACTTGTGGTTCTGTTGACTTCATTGTTGCTACTTTTGTGAGTAAGGTTAGCCCAGGTATGTTCTTTGGAGCAAAACCTCATTATCACACTGCTGCATAGCAACTCCATCTGCCAGGTTCATCCCTTGTGTAATATTCCTGAAGTGAATACTCTCCATGTGGGATATGGGTAACTTTCTATATATGGTAGCTACTCCTATCCTTGAATGGGAGAGACACTCAGTGATTTCATTGAGTTACACTAGGGTTGAATTTAAGCCCTTGTTGCAAGTGATGCCCAAGTTCCTGCTTTTTTAAAAGAAGTCCATTTTTCTCCAACAATGTGCTATTTTAAGAAATGGCTTAAAGCCAAAGAAATGCAATGGGAGAACAAGTGCAGCACAGGGAAGTCTGGCTAGTCTGTGCTGGATTTGTCTGCATATGTGGCTTTACTACATCTGCAGATACATCCCAATGATAGAGTAATGTCAAGCCTTGTCCTCATTTTAACACCATTTGCAAACTGTTTTGGATTAATCAGGTCTGACTCTTAATGCCTGTTAAGCTGACAGAGAAGCCTTGTCCTCCATATTGTATTATAGCAAACTGTCTGCTATCCACAGTTGGGTCTGCCCACTAGGGTATCTTTCCAGCTGTGATTTGGCATTTAGTCGGCACCTGGCCAACAAAAGGACTATGATTATTGGATTGCCATTCTAATAAGTTTTTAACAACAGCCATGAACATAGTGCAGTTGATCAAGATAATTATTCAGTGGAACATAGCTCCAAATTAAATACATTTTAAAATTATTTACATTAAATCAAATGGATGCTAGAAATGTGTTATTTCACATGGACATTTCTTTTTACATTTCAAAATTTGCCTTCAAAGGAAAATTAACAATAGCTCAGAGCATAGGATGCTTGCCATTGGAAATTAACACTACACAGAAACACTTTCACTCAGCAATAACACACGCATTCAGAGAGGGTAGCAGTTTTACATCTGTCTCATCATTTGCGCAACCTGATGACATATGTAATATAGTAGAAGTTGTAATTGAGTGTTCAGTTTCTACCAAGGGAAGCCTGTTTCCTGGAATTGAGGGACAAACAAAACCCTGGATATTTTAAAGACTCGGCTATTTTTTAATTTTTTTTTTTTTTGGTGCCTTCTGTCACATAAAACCTTAGATGTGTTTCATTTAAAAAAATTAACGCAATAAAATTAGTTACTCAATTGTTGGCTAATTTGTTTTTATTTCTATTTGAATATTTCAATGACTTAAATTCTTTTAATTAAAAAAAAATCACCTCTCTTCTCTCTCTCTTTTTCTCTCTCTCTCTCTCTTTAAATTCTTTTCCTCGCTCCTTTTTCCATCTTCCTTGCTGGAAAGGAAAAGTGGGAGGTAGGAAGAGCATCAATAGAGATTTCCCATGCAGGCTTGTGGAGAGAATTCTACCCCTGTTCTTCAACAGCTATAAAAAACATCTGTTTCTTATTTAAAAAAAAATTTTTTAAAATGATGGTTTGAATTCATCCACCAATCCTGCGAGATGCTGACATTCTAGTCCGTGGTTGCCTTAAACACATGAACAAAAAAAAATCAGACAATTTCCACAGTTCATGAAAGCCAGAAGATGGCAACAAGCCTCATATTCCCAGTGTTCCTGTCTCCTGCCTGGAGATAGCACGCACACTTTACAAAAGTTCCCACGAGTGATGGCTCAGAGCCATCTGCAACCTGCCTGGCATCACATGGGAACTTCTGTGAAGCAAAACACGGGAGAGCGGTGCAATGATGCTCTTGTGTGGATGAGTGAGATGTCAGCTGCTAGTGGCTGGCCAACAGATAAGAGAAGGAACATACTCCATCAGTCAGCTATGGAAAGCCTCCTTCAGCTTAAGATAGGAACCTATGTTTTCAAAAGCATACAGGCCAAGACAGTAGTCCCATCTTTGTTGGTGTATACAGCTTGTGTAGTCTGGCCAGCAATTTTTCCGGATTGGTAGGACACATATTTGTCATGGTAGGACTAGGAAAGACCAGCGGCATAGGGGAGCATGAGTGAAGTGGCTTGGCATTAACAACTGGAAGTGTTTTTTTTCCCCCCCCCCCCCCCCCCCCTCCAAGTATTATTTCCAAACAGTGAGAGACAGGTCCATAGCTGATGTAAAGAGAAGTAGCTCTGTGGCATTCAACGCTGTGATGGTTTACAACAGCTCAAGAGCTCAAACCAGACTTCAGGTTGGTGCGTTTGGGTCCTGGTTTTTCAGAAGGATAGGCAAAGCTGGCTACAGTGTTGAAGGTCCCAGAGACTCCTAGAGGCAGCATCCTCTTTCATTCCCCGCATGCAAATGCCGCATGGGTATCGTGCATGCTAGAAATGGGATTCAGCCATTTTATTAGTGCAGTTGTCTCTATTACTGTTACGTTTTGTGACTGACAGGCGCAGGAAATGATCCATGACTGGCATGTTTGAGACAGGTATTAAAACCGGCAGTCGGTTAGCAATGGCTTTTGGGTTTGCTTTTGGTTTCTGCTGTAGTCATGCGTGCTTCTTTGTCAGATAAAAGAGCCAAACTTTCACTTCTGGTATTTCCAGCTGCGTTTGGATTTATCTGAAGGGAACCAGGCATCCCTGCATTTGAGTGTGCCTCCCCCTGTGGACGAGTTGATTACTTACTATGTCTATTCCCTTTTCCCCCATCCTATTTTCTCTTTCTCTTCTAGGTCCAGGCCTGGCCTTCATCGCCTACCCAAAAGCTGTGTCCATGATGCCGCTGCCCACCTTCTGGGCAATCCTTTTTTTTATTATGCTTCTGTTGCTTGGACTGGATAGCCAGGTTGGTAACTGCGACAGCAGATGTTTTTCTTATTGTTTCCTTTGTGCTGGCTGAGAAAGCTCATTAAAAATGGGTGGATTAAAAAGAATATCTCTAAGGCTGCTTACACCAGCTTGCTTATATGCTGTAGAACTGCCAGGCATTTTAATGGGAGGCTGTTTTGCTCTGAGCAAAGAGACAGCAAATGCGATCAGTGTGTTCTTGCTTGGTAAGGTTTTGCTATCAGGTCCTAATGGTATCCAAGAGGTGGAGCAATACTCTGTGGCCCAAGTAACACCCCGTTCCCTCCTACAACACCATCCTTTATGGTTGGTATGCAAGGTTATCCTTTTTTGGGGGGAAGAAAAAATAATAGCCACACTAATAAGAGACAATAGGGGCCTGTTCCTCTATGGCACTGAGTGCCAATGAAATCAATTGGAGCTAAGATTTCTGAGTGCCAAAGTCAATACACAGTGTAATCATTAACAGTTAATAGAAATGCAGGTTTTGGCAGTTGTCTTGTTCCAAGGAAATTCAAAGGTGCTGCCATATGTCTGCAGTAACATAGCCAGGGCAACTCTAACCGTGCAGAGAAAAGCAGCCATCCTTTTATGGCCTGTTCGGCAGAGGTGCTGACGTGGATGGTATCAGCGGGAGCTCAGCATCTCTAAGAAGCACGCTGCTCCCTCCGACGTAACAAAAAACATGCCGATTCTTTCAAGTTTTATTAATTATATAGCACAGGCTGTTAATTATCAAGCTAAGAATGGAGAGCTTCTTGTGGCTGTTTAGAGGAACACGAGTGATTGCTCAGAGGAACGTTAGTAGTTGTTTAGAGCAGCAGTTCTCAACCTGTTTTGTACCAGGACCCAGTTGTACGTCAATGGCCAGTCCTGACCCAGTGCCCCTCACTCCCGACCCGCTGCCCCCCACCCCCAGGCCCCATCCCCCCAGTGTGTGGGGCAGGAGGTGGATGTGTGGGGCAGGAGGGGGTGTATAGGGCATGGGAGACTCCAAGCAGCCTGGAACTGTCACCCTGCAAGGGAAAATCCAGTTTCCCATGTTTTTATCCTTTAAAGGAGAATCCATTTTTAAAAATTTGTTGATCCGTTGATCTATTTTTAAAGTTTGCTTGTAACCCTTTCATATATTCTTGCAACCCACTTTTGGGTCGCAACCCACAGGTTGAGAAATGCTGGTTTAGAGGAACGTTAGTGTAAATACCACAAAGGACTCTGTTAGTCATTTTTAAGATAGACTCTTCCAGATGTAAGCAAGGATTACGCCGTAACTGAAAAAGCTGTGGTTGCCTGAGTTTCCTGAGCAGGAGGCAACACTTTCTACTCCCCCAGGAAAGCAGCTCTACAATTATCAAAATCCACTCAGTAAAAGCAGAATGTTGAGCTGAAATCTGCTCTCCTGTTAGGAGAGATTTATAAGTGGATTTTCCCCCTGAGGTTTCCCACTTGATCTCTTAAAATGTATAGTGTTGCCATTTGTTGTAAATCACTCTTTACTGCTGAGTCTTTGAGATCCAACGAGTGACTTTCAGTCATTTCCAGCCTGAATGTTAAATTGCCCAGTGCTGTGATTCTACAACGGAGCACTTATGCAAATTGAAAACCGCCTACAAATTTTAAAAAAAGCTCCTCACTGTGTGGAATGATTAAAACTAATTGGAGCGCTTAATTCCCCCCCCCCCTGCTTTTTGGAGTGCAGTCAAGCAGGGTTGTGGAATGCCAGAGCAGCTTACGATCAAGTCGGACCAAAGGGAAGTGTTACTTTTAAAAAGAAAAACAATTTTACATAAGGCTTTATACTAAGCTAGGAGTTCAAAAAAGCATTCTAGATTAACCACTGAAAGCTGTATAGTTGCACTATATAACCACTCCACCTGATGGGCGAAGGGTATGCTTCTTAATTTGTTTACAGTGTGCCATTGGATACCATAGGTGTAATAATGGAAAGAACAGGAAAATGTATATACTGTAGAACATTACAAGTGCGTGGCCACTCCACATTGAAACACTAACTGTGGGATGAGCCGCTTACCCCTGGGTGCAGACTTTGCTCTCCATTACATCAGAGCATCTTTAACGGAACCAGCGGATTGCACCATTGTAAGTGCTGATTGAGTGCTCGGGGAGGGCAAGGGGATTTCTCCCACTAATTTTAATGGTGCTGTGATTAGCTGGGCCCAGGTCCTGTACAGCTTGGCTTTGTCCCTGGTTTCCTGCACACAATACTTATTAAGCGCAGTTGAGTATAACTAGAGAGCCTTTCATCACTGTTGGCCAGCCGATCAGGCTGATTGGCAGAGGGGAAGTGTGCAGGGGTAACACATCTGGAGCATGATAGCACAGCTGCATCTTTTGTATACTGATTAATTATAGAAACCAAGCAGATTCCCAAGGAGCACATAAGAAAACCGATCACCAGTTACCACACAATTATCATTTGGGTGTACTCTATTTAACTACTTTGATATGTGTAGCAATTAGTTGGCTCCGTTAAAACCTCCCTATTTTCACGGACAATATATCACTTATCATCTGCCAGGTGTGATCTGCAAAGGCCTGGAAATGCCCTGCTAATCACTTTTTTTGGCAGCCCTACTGAGCTTGGTGTTGTCTGTGAGGAAAGGAGTGGGAAGGGCACCTGTGTCTTGATAAGGTGACAAGGTTACATACCAAACACCAAAGTCTTCATTCCACAGGCTGGATAGTCACCAGCAGGACCAGAAGTAGAATTAGGCCCTAATTGTGGGTTTAAACTAAGCGATGTGCTGACGGTTCTCTAGCGCGTCAAAAGAAGAACAAACGAGAACTCTTTCCTTAGTCAGAAGATTTAGGCTTTAGGAAGATTTTCCTCTTAGCTTTGTTTTTTTCCTAATTTACATTCCTCATTCATTTGGAACAGCAACAGTAGAAAAGCCACATAAGTACTTTCCTGTCATCATGTTTATTTCCTTTATCGTTGCTGGGTACATATATAAAGAAACCAGCTTGAGTATTTTATAAGTATATGGGGAAATTGGAATAAACGCTGAAGCCTTGTTCCAGGTTAAGCCCACCCACACATTTTAAGCTTGAGGTTTTCAAGGAAATGAATTGCAATTTGATTATTCAAAGTATTGTATTTCCATAGAGTGCTGCTAGGGTGCCTTTATGGGAAGTTTAATTGTGACACAGGAAAATGTAATGCATGCTGTGTGTTTCTTTCCCATCTAGTTTGTTGAAGTTGAAGGACAGATCACATCATTAGTTGATCTGTACCCATCCTTCCTAAGGAAGGGTTACCGACGGGAAATCTTCATCGCTATAGTATGTTTCCTAAGCTATCTTCTGGGACTAACTATGGTGACTGAAGTAAGTAACATTGATAATGGAGAGCTTTTAAAAGTAATATATGTACATATTTGTATTGTGAATCAGCTGACAAAGGTAAGTTGAAAAAAATAACACTCCGTAGCTCTTGCATAACTTATTTTACCATAAACTTCAAAATGTATTAAAAGGTACATATTATTATTGTATAGGTGGACTGTACAAACAGGTAGAAATGAGAGACAGTGACAGATCTGGAAAGAGGCCCTGGGTCTTTCAACTCCTCATCACCTAGATCGAGGTTTCTCAGGTTGTGGTTCAAGAGCAGTTACGTGGATGTACAACCACGCATCCTTTCTTCATGGTTACCTAGGATGACCCCAACATTTTTCTCTCTTCTAAAAGTGTGCGCATGGTAGAGAACTACTGGATTGACTTGTTCTGGACCTTATCACAAGACAAAAACATAAGCACGCAGAATTTCCAAAACCATTCCTTTATTGATGTCATCTGGCAAGAGCAAAACCGTAAAGGAAAAAAATAGAAAATCTGAATGTCACCCCAAGTAACCCAGTTTATAACCTCTTCCTAATCAGATATGTGCAGAACAGTTAAAGCCGTTGGGAATGACAGTCATTTCAAAACAAAAGCCTGAAAATGAATTACAGTGTTCATAGTTTGTAAAGATTGCTAGAAAGTGGCTTAAACCAAAGATTATTTTAAAGAGCACTGCAACTTAATTCATATTTAAAGACTTCAAAAATTCACGTATAATACCAATCACAGCTCTACATCAGTTGATTTATCTGCTGTATCATAACTAGTTCATTATGTGGTATAGTTTTCTGTTCATGAATTGCATTTTGTTGGGCACCCCCACTCTGTCCAGGTGTAATTGAATATGGTGCAGTTCTTTACTTCCTGATCTAACCTATTGGCAGGCACGTTTGTATTAAGTTAAAGAATTGTTAAGTATTTTCTGAGTTTCGCCACTGGGGTACTTGAACTGCAATGGTGACAGTGCATTGTGGGAATTAGCTAAGCACCAGGTTCTGGTCCATGAATTCATGCAGGTAGTCTCACTGATTTCAGTCCAGGCTTAAGGTACTATATTCACCGTGGGAGAGATATCAGAGTCTGGCTTCAAATTAGAAAAAGCCACAGGAACCTTCTGTGAAAAGATTAATATTGCTAAACTCAACTTTGGCATGGCGTGTTAGTTGAAGCTCCATCCAGTGCAACCAGAGAACTAGATTTTTATATCAGTTACACAGATTTGAATCAGTGAAGGTATTCTGGGTTTAGACTAGTCTAAAAACCAACCAACTAATATAAAAACCTGTTCGAATAAGAGCACTATTGGGACAGTTATTTTAGAACTAGTTTGTGCCTCATTTAAAACATCAGAGTTTTAAAAAAAAATCTGAGGGGAAGAGAGGGAATTACAATAACGTCCATAAGTGATATTTTGAACACTCAGACACTCAAAAAGGTTTGGTTTTGACCAACATAAAGAGCGAGGAACATTTACATCTATATTGAAATTCAGTTCTGTCTGTTTAAAGCAGTTGCCAGAGCAATGAGTCTGGACAGTTCTATGTAATATTTAAAAATGAGAGAAAAATGAGATATTTTCCTCCTGAGAAAAATATCTTTCTGCTAGATTCATAAATGAAGGTACCTCCTGGTGACTTGCCTTGCATTTTTTATCACATTAGAGCAGTTCATGTTGAAGACCAGTTATTTCTTTCCATTATATGATTTCATAAAAGCTCACCCTAAAATACTTTTAAAAGGGAAAAACTGTCTCAGTAGATTACATTAAGTGGCTTAATTTTGTTCAATTGCTGTCAAGTTTATAATTCTTTCTATAATAAACAAGAACAGTGTGTGGGGAAATTAGTGCTAAGTACTTATTTTTACAGATGCAGCATAGAAGGTTACGGTGCTGGTTAGACACACATTTGTTTGGGATAGTTTAGCTAGGGATGATCCTGCCCTGAGCAAGGGGCTGGGCTGGATGACCTCTTGAGATCCCCCCCAGCCCTATAGGTCTATGATTCTATGGCATTTTTACATGCTAAAAAGCGATCAGAAAAATATTTTTGGTAGAATTTTACCTTTCATAAAGAGTCTGTTAGAACTCCCAAGCAAAAACCAATTTTAATCAGTCAGGTCCAGTACACACATTGTCTTAATGACTGAGCCTAACCTTTTATCTCTCTCTGTCTCTCTCCTCTATAGGGTGGCATGTATGTTTTTCAACTCTTTGACTACTATGCAGCTAGTGGTGTATGCCTTTTGTGGGTTGCATTCTTTGAATGTATTGCTGTAGCCTGGGTTTATGGTAAGTGGCCTAGTACAAATCTTCAGTGAATAATAATGAAAATAATCAGCACTAGCAAGACACCATTCAACAGTCAGAACTATCGATTCCAGACTTTTCTTTGGAAATGTTGACATTTTGCCTTCAATGTGAATTTACACTGACCCCTGAGCACTACATTTGAGCTGGGCTCAAGCCAACCTCCACATTTTTCAGGCAGACATGAGTATTTTTACGTGCTAATTGATAGGTGCCCAATTAAACATTTGCATCTGTAAATTAAGAGGCCAGAGTTGAAATTTTGGCCGGCAGTGAAAAGCTCTGATTGTTTCTCAAAGAACTGCCTCCCAAAGCCCTTCACTTCTACATGGGTCAAGCCCTCCAAATAGAAAACTTGTAAATACCTGACAGAACATGTATTATATTTCCATATTTTTAATTGATACTGATTTCCTGAGTCGGACAGTAGCCAAACTTGCTACGTTGGCTGCTTAGGAATGGTTGATGCCATAATTCTTCATGTACCAGGTTTTATTTTAGTTTTTGTTTTATTATTTTTCATTTTGAATGACAGTCACATTTACATTCAGATGGATAGTATCTGTTGCTATGTTTTCCTTTCTCACACACAACCCCTGCCACTCTCAGCGGACTCGCCAACGTTAGCGTTCCACTGTACCTAGATAGGTATGGAATAGCTTATGAAGGCGAAGGAAGAGAAATATCCTTTAGCCTTCCAACACTGCCAAGTAGGCTCTTCTAGAAGCCAGCCTTAGATTTCTAGACCTGTATTTCACCCTTTTTGTATAATACTGGTATATTATACAAAGTCCTGTAAAGTAACATTTCTTCTTCACCTTAGAAATGAACATCCCTGAAAAAGTAAATAGTGGGCACATCTACACATTTATTAATCTGCCTTAGGTACTATGCATTTAGTTTAGCACTTGTTTAATAAAGTACTAACTAAATGTGCACTAACCAGAGTTACTGAGCAGTAGCGCTAGCGCATGCTTTTTTCATGACGCTTACTGCGCATTAGCCTAATACTGCGCAGTAGACTATCAGCACAGTTTTTAACCACCACACTACTGCACAGTGTTATTAGGCTAATGTACAGTAAGCATCTTGTGTAGTCTGTAGTCTTGTCCAGTATGTCTGGCACCCACCGCTGGATACAATCTTCTGTACGCATCAAGTCCCACTGACCCAGAACAAATCAGATTTTTTTCCCCTTTGCCTTCTCTCTTAGACCCAAGGATGCAGATCTCCTACTGCAATATCCCTTGCTCAGTCATGTTGTATAACTATATTGCATAGCTGTTATATGCAGGCTCTGGATAAATGTTCTTTTCTTCATGGAGTAACTATATGTTTCAGGCGCTGATAATATTTATGATGCCATTGAGGATATGATTGGATACAGACCTGGTCCCTGGATGAAATGGAGCTGGATTTTAATCACACCAGTTCTTTGTGTGGTGAGTACTGAATCATGCTGTTCCACAGCCTGTCCGTGGTTTTTTTTGTCATGTTGGTTTCCTTTGAGGGGAGTGGTGAATGGAGTGTCACCACGTTCACATCCCGTATTACAGGAGACATATGTAGGTTATAAATGGTCCATTTTCTTATTCAATATTATGTAACATGCACCAAAATATTGTTAGATCTTTTAAGATTGCAAAGTCAAGCACGTACACATTAGGAAAAGCCAGAATTAAAGTTGCCTGTGCAGGGTCTCTTTGTGCAGTGAGTCACAGTATTCCCCCTGGCCTCTCATCTAATCTAAACGTTGCAGCCCTTCTCAACTGGCTCCCAGCCCCCCATGTCCTTCACCAGCTTCCAACCCCAGTCTCTTTACAGAGCTGGTCCCAGTCACTCCCTTTCAATTCAACCCCAGATTGCAGTTTCTTCTGCTCCCCAGAGCTTCAGTTTCCCCAGACTCCTTGTCTCAACCTATTTCTTTTCTGGCTTCTTTGCACTCTGCATTTGATTCACATGGCTTCTTCCTCCACACTGTCTCTTGGCCAGCAAGGGGGTTACTCAGAGCATAAGACAGACTTATTCACTGCTCTCAGTTTCGGTGCCCGGTTCTCTACTCAGTGCTTCTGTAGTTGGGTCACCTCTCAACTGTGTACATACATATAGGTGTAGAGCTCCCTCTAGGATGTCTTCCCCTTGGTTATAAACACTTAGTAAAGTATACCAACATTGTGTGATACTGCTTCCTTTTTCTGAGATCAAGCAATACCATATTGTATTTAAGCTACAGTGGATCCATCATTTCTCTAACCTTTCTTTCTCTCTCTCACAGGGGTGCTTTATCTTTTCCTTGGCCAAGTATAAACCTCTGACCTACAACAAGGTCTACACATATCCTGACTGGGCAATTGGCCTGGGTTGGGTTCTTGCCCTTTCCTCCATGATCTGCATCCCAATGGTGATGGTCATACGCATCATACAGTCAGATGGATCGCTCATTGAGGTATGAATGACCCTCTGAATTGGGAAGTAGGGGGATGCTTGAGAGAAAGGGTTTGGGAGGAGGAGAGAAAGAGAAGTTTAGGCTTTCTGACATGACCTACAGGAAAGTTACTTCAATATGCAGCAGACAAAGTGAGGCCTAAATGGAGTCTCACAAAGTTGTTTGCCCTTGCCTGCATGTTTAACAGGGGTTGGTTGCCCCTGCAGGGCCCAGGCCACAGCATGAGATCCTCCACTTTCGCCATCCTGATAAGAAAGCCTAACCATGTCATGCTGCGCTGTGTGACCTTAGTGAAACTGCCTCTGGTGTGCTGAAACCTGCTCTATTTTATGCAAAATCAAAACAGCCCTTGGAAGCCTGCCACTGTGGCCCTTGACAGCATGGGGTCAGACACTTCTGCTGCAGGGAGTATGAGAACTGCATAGATCACCAGTTCTTTCAGCAAACAATATAATCCTGTTTAAAGAGAATGCGCACAACGTTCTCTAGCCTAAAGTAGTACTGGATTTTACCTGCTTTCTATTTCTGCAAGCCAGCTAATTGTTCCCTCTGTGAGTACCTTGCGACTGAAATATACTTCCATGCAGAAGGGCTCAGTTCTCAAGCCAGGGAGATGAATCCCTGTCCATACATAGATCAGCAAGAAAAGGAAATATTCAGGATCAACCCAAATCTAAATCCTGTATCCACAAACTCATTGCATTCAGAGAGATTTAGGTCCATATAAAAATGCCATCTCTCTGACAGGCTAAAACAAAAGCCTCACAGACATTAAGAAAGCTCCAACCTGAGGTTTTTTTTGGCTGTTCTCTCCATAGGATTTTAATGGTCATTTCCAGTTCCTGCCAGGGCATTTTATTGGCTTCTCATTTTCTTGTCTGCATTATCACCATCTATTAAGTGAGAGATCTAGAAGTAGCTAAAGCTGCCGTATAAGACAAGACTAAGCAAGGAAGAGTGAATATATGTCAGATGCCATCTAGTTCCTTCCTTCTGAAGTGAGAACTGGGAGAAATGATGTAGCTTGGCAGTGAACTGCTGCATTTTCAGCATGTAGAGAGAAAACATATGGCCTAGAGATGATCCTGCAGCACTGGAGATGGGGTTGGGGGACTGCTAGAACCCACAACTGCAAGTTGTTTCTCCACCAGCTCAACAGAGAGGCTTTGATTTTAGGTTCACTTCCTGCCTTTGCAAAGGCATGGCTTTCAGAGGTGGGCTGGAGGGCTAGGTGCAGCACCAAGCCTGGAAGCTGATAGATTACTTTTTAGGGAGGTATGCTGTGTGCACTCAGAACCCCATCTCTAATCTTAACCCACCAAGATGAGAGTCCTCAAATAAGATACCCTAGTCACAGAGAAAAATAGGACAACAGAGCTAATCTCGTTTGGTATCTACACTATTCCCTCACCTGCTCTGTTGCAGTAGTTATAGATACAGACTTCAAAAGCTATACAGAACTGCAGGGAACTGTTGTGCCCTACCAAGTCTCCATAACACTTTATAGATGGGGCAGGGTCATCTTTTGGTGAACATGAACCTTTAAGATACCTTTGATAACCACAGTGTTCGGTGATAATGGCAACAACAGTCTTTCCTGTGCACTGAAAACTCAGGTGTCATAGGTTGAGAAACTCTGTTTACTTGGGCTACTCCAAATATGCTTCCTTCAGATACACGTGCATGAGCTATTAGACAGCTTGTATGGGACTGCAGTTGGGGTTTAGGAGAGCTGTGTTCCCAAGCATCCTTGGGCTATCAGTTTCTTTTTCAGCATTCTTTTTCTTCTTGCCACTGGGCCTCCTTTCAGGAAGCCATCAACTTCTCATCCATCCCGGGCAGTGTCTCATTGTTTGCTGCATTTGCCTTTTTGTCTTAAAGCAGAAACTCTATGAGGTATAGATACCATTCTTGTGTTATGTGTTGGTAGAGCTCATTGACTTTTAGGAAGATTTTGCTTCCCATTTTCTAAAAGTACAGCTAGGCCCAAGTAGATTAAGGACCTGTCTCCCCTTGGTTTCAGATTTACCTTCTGGACAAAAAGACAAAGGGGGTTGTATTGAAGCTCTCTTGAAAAATACACGTTCACTTGGTCTCAGACTGGTAATTTTGTTAATGTGTAGCCAGAGAGCCAAATTTCCTGATGGAGTTACTAGGTCTTCCTGTGGCACTAAGTGGTACTCCTGGTGGTAAGACCTTGTGAGTGCTAGCCCTGGGAGACAACTGGAGATTGGGTCCTTTTTTGGAGAGAAGTATTTTACCGATGATAGATTTATCTGTCAGGGCTGAGGTAGCTCTTTTTCTAACCCTTGATTGTCTTTGCCATTCTCCTTTCAGAGGATAAAAGCAGTGGCTGCTCCCAAGGAAGTGAATCGGTGGGCCAAGGACAGAGGAAGCGCCACTCCATTTTGCGCCAATGGAACTGCTAATGGCGGATTGATCAAGCCAACTCATATCATTGTGGAGACTATGATGTGAGCTCTCTCTATGAGAGGATAAACCTGCTTTAACTGCCGTTTACTAACCATAGATTCTCATAGGACCAGGTTTACAGAGCTTTATATTTGCACTAGGATTTATTTTTATTTCTCACAGAGAAGTTATTTTTTGTGTGTGTGGTTTTTTTTGTTTTTTTTTTGTTTTTTTTAAAATATTTTGTAAGGTAATCACAGCAGACACCTCTCTGGGGAGGCCGAGCTTTCATATCAGACTAGATATATTACAGGAATTTACTATTATTGGGTTTTTTAAGTATATATCTATCTCTAAATATTGTACTCCTTACCACTTGAATTGATTGTCTTGCCAGCAATATATTCAAGTCTCGGACAGCCAGTTTTAGGTGCTGGTGTGGTGGGGAACAGGGTCAACCCTAGAACACACAAATGAGCTCTGTTGAGAGGTCTTTTTTTTTTTTTCTCCTTTTTTTTAAAGAAAAAGAAAACAACAGATATTGCTCTGAGAGTTTGTTTTTCAAAGGTGTAGTACTTTTGTTTTCCTCTGGTTCAAATGAGGCGAATGACAGACTTCAGGTTCACGTCAGGAAAAGGGTACTGAACACTGTGACATTTGTCATGGTCCATGCTAAAAAAATGTACATATTTGCTCAATGGGAGGTGAGAAGTTTGGAGTGGAGGAGAAGCGGTTAGGAACAAAAGACCAATCAGGATCATTGTCATTCCTGAGCACAGCTGAGGAGCTTCATCACTGTGGAAGGCAATGACCGCAGAGGAGAGCAAGTTTGCCAACTCAGCCCTCTTTACTCTAGCAAAATTTTGACTGCCTGCAGCAAAAGGTTTGTGCGAGTCTGAAGTTCTGGACACAGCCCCTTAGTTTTCCTGCACACTGTATTTTAGTCGAGGGGGTACTTGAGTTCAACTTAAATTTTGCTGCAACAGAACACTAGGCTTTTCTGGAGAAAAGCATGCAAGTGCCGAAGAGCTGAGTTAAGAGAAGGCAGCATTTGGTATCTGCGGAACTCCAAAACCAAAAAAAAAATGGGAAAGATGTTTGGGATTGTTTTTATTCAACTATTGGGCTTTGATACCAACACCTTGAGGATTCCAGTTAACCTAGCAGCTATTCGCAACAAGTGCATTTGCAGTAACAACAAAAAATGACACGAGTACTTAAGCACACACTCAGGTGCTTTTCATCCATCTAGCCCCACATGCTTTACCAACGTAAGGATTATCCTGATTTGTTTGCTGTTTTTCTTACTACTGGGGAAGCAGGCAAAGGACTGGGGCCATGAAGTGGTTTACCCATGTTTCGGAAAGGCACTGGTAGGACTGGACCCTTGACCCCCC